GAGTTCTGATTAGTCATATGACCAATTGAATATGGTAACCCAGTTCACTGAGGGATAGAAATTAATAAGCCGACAATTATTTTCCAAGTTATTACAATCACAAGCGATAACTCAAACTGTTTACCTGAATAAACTAATCATGCTCTTTTTGACAAATCCATTTGTAACAAAGTGCATGTGATTTTTGTGATTTGGTGGTAAACAGTTTCGCTGTCGTCCGATTCCGTACCACGCCCAACCCGGGGCCTTATGTGGTTCGCCATTTCAAGTTGTGGGACTTATAATTCCGGTTTCCATCACTGAACAGAGACCTTCGCGACTATAGGGTTAGCTCTGTCTGCTGTTCTTCACGCAAGGTTGAGTAGCAGAAATATGTATACATTTCATGTTCACTTGTTTTTGTTTTTGTTGAATTTCTGTTTAAAATTGTTACTCACAGACTAAGTTGTAAGCTCATAAAGCGCAAATGTTGCATACATTGCCTTATTTGACAAACGACTCTGTTATCGTAGTAAGTTGTGATTTTGTAGGATTGTAGTCTCAACAGTAAAACGGTGCGTCAGTATGCGGGGATACAATGGTTTCGTTTTCATTGCTTTGTTACCCGGTCGCTTACTGGATAGTCTGCAATTTCCGAGAAAGTTTCACGAAGACGTTTTTAGCTGGGCTGATTTGAGTTCCGCTGGATAGTAATCTGCTTAGCATCAAATTATCGGGGTTTTGGGGTATTGCTGAATACTGTAAAATCATGGTATTATTTGTGTATGTCGAGGTTTGGGCTAATGAAGATGTGAACAAACAGGATATTGAATATGGTACTTGGTCAAGTCATTCGCGGTTTCAACCCGAAAGCTCATTGAACCCCCTGGACATTCGGTAACTCAATCACACATTCACCCACTCCCAACGGTTAGCTATTTCAGGTTGAAAGCATTTAGTTCTCACCCTTAGTAAGATCAATGTTACTTTCTTCCCTCTTCCTTTTCTAGAAATCTTCTATTCTCTGGAGATAATTGTGGCAATGTGTGTATCTGGGATCCTCGCACCGGCGGTTTGATTCAAACTTTTCCCAGTCACGTTGGTCTTGTGCTCACATTGACCGTGTCCGATGACTCGTTGACTGTGTTCAGCGGTGGAACCGACGCCATGGTTCGAAAATATGTATGCATGTCATCAGAACTAGCAGAACGTGAGTGCCTTCATGAAATGCGATTTATGAGTTTCTGTAATGTGTACTGTCGGAGTTTACGAAACAACAATGAACTATTTCGGTGGTTTTAATTCACTGGGAACATCCCCAGATCCGAGGATTTTGCTTTGTTCCGGGCAAATTAACAATGTATGCACTACGCAGCTCATACCGATTTGATTATTTTCAGAATTAGATTATCCTCCATAGAAAGTAAGCGCTATTATCTCATTCGAGTGAGTTCGATCGTTTGCCATGAGCCACGTATCTGGGGCTTGTTATTACTCTAAGTAAAAGGGAGATGTGCAACAGACGTAGCGTCCTTAATGTATCACTGCAACTGTCGGTCTACACTAAATACTCGGGTTTTGTGCTAAACAGAACGAGAATCTTCGATTGAAATGTACTGTTATTGACAGATTGTTTTGTATGATGCACAATCAAGCACAACTGACCTATCTATTCAGATACTTGGATATCAAGCTAGAGCGGTACATTTGGGTTTGTTTCCTCCTCATCTGGTCAAAATGGATGCGTACTGTGGCTAAACCGGAGCAACTTTGCGCGGTATTTTTCCACTGCACACAAACTATTCCGTTATCAAATTCCAGCACAGGTTGTTATAATTTTCCACATCCACCAGGACCTTTAAATTGGACTATGCGCTCGTCGTTCTGGCGCGAGCAGTTCTCGACCTGCATTTGTTTTAACCAACCTGAAGAATGAGAAATGCGTAGTGTAACTAAACGGTAATGAGGGGAAATATGTTCATCACATGCACTGATTTTGTGCTCAGTACGACTTGCCAAGGATGATTGGGTAGATAATAGTAAGTAAAATAGTTTACATGAATACCATGTTCATTTTATTTGGAAAAAACTAACCTTGCTTTCAAATCAATCTGTTTCAGCTCGTTGGGAATTGGGAGGTCTGTTACGCGGTTGTCGGCGTGATATTCGTGGACTTGCCTATTTACCCGGTCTGTCTTATGATCCCGAGACCGAGGCAAATAATTCAGATGCACGATTCGAACCACATCGCCTATTGGCTGTCGGTATGGACGCCCGACTGCAATTGTTGTCCTGTTCCCAGGCCGAGTCCGTGCGTGTCGGTCCAGCTCGAGCACACAGCACATTAGCCTCACAAGTTGGTCGACCGCGTGATGACTCCAACACCGCTGTGGTTGCGCATGTAGCCGCATTACCTTTTTGGCCATGGTCAGTTGTTCCCGGGCGTAGCCAACCGGCCCAGTATTCCACAGATTTGTCGCACTTGGGGAGAACTTGGTGCCTGCTGCACTATCCGGAACGATTGATCTTGATGCGTCTTGCTGAAGTTGAATCTAAAATGGGATCATTTGCAGATAACGATGAGCGTTTGATAAATCCTCTTCATGGTCCATTGCAGCTGGCTGAAATCCGTCCCAAACCCGGAACCGAGGTGGTTTGTTGCTCCCTGACCGCCACCAGCACTCCACTGATTGCGTATTCGGATTTGGCTCGCACTTGTGTGCTTCGTGTATCATGCGGGGTTAGTTTAAATATATGTTATCTTCCGATGTACTGCTTCTGGTTTGTGCCTCCGTCGCTAACCTTACCACGACTTTTACCAGATAGATACATGGAACAGATTACACTTCGTTTTCGTATATCATGTGTATAAATACGACTAACTATGTTCTTGGAGCTCATGGCTGCTTATCAGTCATTTTTATTTGCAATAACCTTACTATTACTGTGCAATCTGATATGATCCACGTACCCTCTGTCTAGCCGAACTGTGTAGTTTATTTACCAATTGGTGCTCATATGTGTCTTGCAGCTACGGCAATGCTAATCTTTTCGCTCTAATTAAGACATGATTTGGACCCTGTGGTCCGAGGTTCGAGCCCCGCCACCCAACTTTGGTGGTAGACAGCTTTGCTGTCGCCCGGTTCAATACCACGCCTGACCTAGCGGGGCCTTATGTGATTCGCCACTCCAAACCCCGGGGCTTAGGTTGCCGGTGAACATCACTGAACAGCAGGTCTTCATGGTTATGGGGTTCGCTCCGTTCATCACACAGTGGTGTGCAATAAAAGAAGGCATACTCGTGTCAGAAGATAGTCTAAACTTCTTGAAGTCTTGTATTTATTGGTTATGTAATGCTCTAAGAATAACGTAAAATAACCAATCAGAGGGTCAGAATCGCAATGCAGTCGACATTTGAATTAATTTGATCAGTAGTTCAACACCAGCACGCTTGGTACCCGGAGCAAAAACGTGCGCAAGCTCAGATGGCCGATCAACAGATGCAAAATAAATTAGGACCAACTAAAAGGAAAGCAGGAATACGGAGATTGTCCAAGCAAACTTTGACTGATGTTAACAATTGGCGACCATAGTTAACCACGCTTAGAATGTCATAATTGTTCGCAGCAATTGTTGAAAGACAGCAACCGAGTTGAAAGCGTCAAGCTCTTTAAATTGAGGAATTCGTAAATAGGAATTATCATGCTAGTCGCTTGACCAATCTTGCTGGCTTTTCTCCTGGGTAGTTCATTAATATATATATATATATATATATATATATATATGTATATATATTCACACACCGAGTTCAGACTGTGCCGAATAGATCACGATACAATAATCTTTATAAAACAGAAAAATAGCCGAGTGCTACAGTTCGTTATTGTCGCCCTTGTGCTTCATCTCGACCGTGGGTGATCTACAGGGTCTATTCAGAATGGTGAATAAAACATTCAAATCACAGTTTCGCTTCGCGATGGAGACTGCCATAGTTACAAGTTAGGTCACTCATCTCTTATTTTATCTAAAAGCTATTTATGACTAGTTTTTTTGACAAGCCTTCAGACGTGAAATGTTAATTTCGAATACTGCCCTGAACCCTGCACTGAGGGTGTACATTCAAAGTTGAACGGAAGCCCTTATTCGGTGATGCATAGGAATCACAATGCCGTCTGTTGTCTTTGTCCTGGTAGATCTCTTAGCCAATCCATGGGCAACAATGAAGCTCACAAAGATGGGTTGTGCTATATCGTGTATAGACAAACTGCAAAACGATCTGATCAACTGCCCGGTGTTTAAATGAGTAGTGTGCTTACATTCTAAATCCCAGGTTTGGTCCCCAGTCAGGTCGACAGATTAGCACGTTGTACTTTCTTTTATAAAGAAGCACCACATTATGAGGTAGGAAGTAACATCTCATGCCCTATTATGAAGAACGAATGCCGTACACGTCACGGCGAGCATTCAGGTGGTTACGTGGTGATAACAAGAGAGAGAGAGCAACACAATAACAATTCGAAATGGAAACGTCAGTGTATCGTAGTGGTAAAAAAAATCATTCTAGGAGTCGGATTTCGGAAAATGTCCGAAGCAATTCTTGGAAGAAGTATCGAGGAAGGTGATGTTTACGTAGCTGATTAACTCCAATGAAGTGATGTGGGCAAGTTCGGAGCATTCGCTCCCTATAGTGTCAAAGGCGACAGAGACAATTTATTTAGGATCAGTCACCAGAAGCCCCCCATTGACAAAATTTAAGCCTGATTTCATAAAGATAAAAAACAAAAAGAGCGCCTGAGGAAATCACCATGCCATGCCTTTGTTAAAAGATATGGGTAAATGTTATTATGGCCATGGTAACATCAGAGCCTGGACCAGATTACGTTGCTTGCACAACTCCGGCTTCATGATCCTAATTGCTATGGCTTCCACAGTTGTCAGGATCTTTCTACGTAATCCTTTGGCGTGGTTCGTAGGTGCAATGAAGAAACTTGTAAATGATGTTTCTGGGTCAATCCTGTGTTCACTGTCGACCAAATGTTGCAGGATTGAGCTGTTTAGGCTTCTCACTGTTCCTTTTCGAAGGGCGGCCGGACAGTGTTCAGATATTCTCTTAGACAAACACCTAGTTGTGTGTCCGATATAACGAGCACGACAAGTGCTTTGTTCTTATGCGTCAATGGGAATATATTACGATTTGACAAAAAGCGATCATCCTATGGCGTTAAAAGACCTCAACAGATACTTGAATTTCAACGTCAGGTTCGCAGAAGAGAAGGCTACCGTGAATTTTATCAATGAGTGTGTGCAAAACGATCGTTATCCGAAAACCTACTGGATAGCGTTGCGTAGAACTCATGTCAAACCAAACACCCGGTCACTCAGACGTTACGCATTTAACCAACTGGACTCAGCTCATTCTAACCTGGACGAAATTGAACGAATGATCTCGAGATACAAAACCGCGGTTGAGGACTTGCAGAAATGTCATCGAAGGAGGTTTGAGCATTACGTTAGTTCCGTCCAGTCCAAGGCCGTCGAGAAGAAAAAAGTAAGGTTTATGAACAGTCTGGAATCCAAAGCACCCCCAGAGATGTACGTGAACAATTATTCATCCGTTGAACTCACTAAGTTACAAATTGAGGCATTGTCTCTCGGACCTAAGTTTTGCACGCCACATTTTTATGATAATCGAGTAGAGATCGAGACACAGTTCGAGAATTTGATGAGCCAATTTCGTGACCTCACATCTGTATCAGAGACTAGTGTAGAAAACCTAAAATCGTCATTGGTTCATTATTGCCAGCAGTATCAAGAAACGAAAATCCAAGAAAAAGGGTTATTAACGAGGCAGCATAGAAACGCAATTAAAGAATTGACCAAAAATCGGAATGTTATTCTTTCAAGACCAGATAAAGATGCAGGATGGGTGGTGTTGGACCGATCTGAATATAACGATAAGCTGAAGACTATACTTGCCGATGATAGCAAATTCAGTCACGATGCCAAATAAAAGGATAAAACGCATGAATCAGAAAGAAAACTAACGGAGATTTTGAAGCAACTTAGGGCTGAAAATTACATCTGCAAGGCAACATTTGACAAACTCATTCCATGTGGATCTCAACCACCGAGACTCTATGGATTGCCGAAAATTCACAAGCCAAATGTGCCACTAAGACCAGTGATTGACATGAGCAATTCAGCCTACGACGCCATAGCACAATGGATTGTACAAATTCTAGAGCCTGTGCACAAATCTCTAGCCAGATATAGCATAAGAGATTCGCATTCGTTGATCGCATCAGGAATGAAGACATGTCACACAAGACCATGCTCTCCCTTGATGTCGAATCCTTGTTCACAAATGTCCCACTACTGGAGACGGTAGACTATATTTGTCAATACATCATTGAAAATAATATCCAGATCGAAATTCCCGTGACGAAACGTAAAGAACTCATACTGAGATGTACATGGAACGTACAGTTTTTGTACAATCAAAAGCACTATCGACAGAAGGATGGTGTAACAATGGGATCACCGCTTGACTCACTCCTGGCAGATACATTTTTAGCCAAGCTCGAGGACCGACCTTTGAGGAACACAATTGACAGTCTTGACCTATACACTAGATATATGGACGATACGTTCACCATTTGTGACTCCGGAAAGGACATTAATAAGCTACTTGAAGTATTCAATAACGCTCATCCGGGTATACGATTTACAATGGAGGTAGAAAAGGACAACTTTTTCGCATTTCTGGACATTGGTCTTCGTCGTATGGAAGATGGTCACATCGAAAGAAGAATATACCGTAAGTGCATGTGGGTTGGACAGTACACACGTTTTCAAAGTTTTGTCCCACTAAGATACAAACGGAATTTAGTGAACTGTTTAGCATACAGGGCAAATAGGATTTGTAGTCCGGAGACTCTGACCGAAGAGTTGATCTATATAAAAGACATCCTCAAGAAGAACGGATACCCAGAGGCGTTTGTTCGACGACATACGGAATCGAAACCAACCGATGCAAAAGTACCAGAAAGAAGGAGGTGTTTGTCAACGTTCCCTTCAAGGGAGACAAGGAATTAGAAATCCTGGAATATCGGTTATCC